TTCAGGAGGTCGAAGTACCACTGTAAGCAATTTTCAGCCAAATCTGCCCTTCTAGAAAAAAGTCGATAAAAAAGCGGCCTGATTTCGGCAGACTGGGGTAGGAATAGTTCGATAGTGCCGAAAACTAGAACACAAACTAGAAAACTGCTAAGAAACTAAAAAGAAAGGTAAAACTAGAAAACAAACGACTAGATAAAACTAACTCACCAAGAGCTAGAAGCCAGGACCAGGAAATAGCTTTTTAAACATTAGTTGTTCGCGGTCATTCAAAGGTGAGCGTGCTCATACAAATGTATTGGGGAGTTATTTTACGACCCGGAGCCAGTTTCAGGCCGAACACTCGAAAAGTACACCCCCCCCCCAACTTGAACACCCACTTCTTTGACAGTAAAGCTTTTGTGGAGGGGAAAGCAGGAATGTGGAGCACTTCGCACTTGTTCCATGTGTTTAAGCATTTCGAAAAAACTTCCTCTTCAAGAAATTTTCTCCGTTGTGGTCTTGTCGTGATCATGGGGTTCATTACAAGTCCTTACGCTTTGAACAGCCATGGCAAGCTTCATACAAGGTCTTTCGTAAAAAGAAAAACAGTGCCAGAATTTCGAAGCTTTCTGCTTTCCAGCAAATTTTATTTCTTCACTAGGCCTGCTATTCGGAAAACTCCCTTGTTGTGATCACAACGCACCGGTGCCGGACGGCACGAAATCCATCCCCTCCGACACTATAAAAACCCTCCAGTTGGCTTAAAGACTTTGGTATGCTTCTAAAACGCATGTTTTCGCCAAGGATATCAGGAAATAGTTCATTGGGCGCCAATTGGCATCACCTCTGCAATGCGCCATGCATAGCGCTTTCACGCAGAGGTATTGGAAAGGTACAACTTCTATGGAAATAGATGTGCTTCTGCGATACAAAGGTTCGGAATGTATATTCATCTGTTTATTGATTCATGACGTCGTTGTGGGCGGCCATCGTATTTCCTGTCATCGCCCGTTCCCCACTTCTGCGCTGGCAGGTTGCTTCTGTCTTGTGTGTGTCTCTTCAGGGGTTCTTCACATGGATAAGTCTTTCATCATTGAAGCTGAACGACATCTGGGTATCGCTGCACCCTCACTTCAGAAAGGGCCCTGCGCTTACGACCCCCCCCCTCCCTCGAGGTCAAATACGACCCCCTGTTGTGATCATCACAACGATGGCGTGCCCTGCTTGCGACGCCCCTCCCCCGCGTGGACAATGCTTTGGGAAAGTTTGACTTGGGGAACGTTCTGGTTGTGTAGTGGGAGAAGTGATTTGAATTTCGCAAAGTGGGGCAGTAAAGAGTGGCAGTGCTCCTTTCTTTGAGATTACATCAGTGGTGTCGGGACTGTTTAGAAATATGAGAACCATTTTACCCCATGATAGGCGGCAGCACCGCGGTATCTCCTCACCATTTCACCAAATTTTTTGACCAATAGTCAGGTTTCGTCCTTCTTTCATCTTTCCATCTGACTTCATATGTGTCTTCCATGTGCATGTGCAAAAACATGTTAAGAACTTTGAACAAAAGAAATGTCAAGTTAGTCATATAGAGCTTCACGGAGAGAAAAAAGCATGACTGCGCATGTATGTCAAACAGTTCGATCGTGTTGAACACATTTCCCAGCCACCGCAATCTTCCGAGTGTGGGACAGTAAGCGTTGTCTAAGCTCAGTGAGTTGTGCTGCGGTTGTGACATTTTCCGAAAGTCATTAATATTGTAGAGACGCAAGTGTACCACACTTTCAAGCCTTGCAATCACCATCAACTGTGAAAATAAAAGGATTAAGGAGTCTTCGCCGTTGATCAATCCCTTTGTGGGATGCGGCACGCATTCTACTTCCATTCAGAATCGTAGTGGCTTATTGAATGCGATGTGGCCTATACAATGACTTGCGGTGGCCAGCCGATGTACAAGTCAGTGTTTATCCTCCCAGACGAATCTGGTACCAATTTACCGTCCCCGGAGGGTAGAAGGCTTGGTTGGCCAAGATCGACCCGGGATTTAAACCCAGGACAGCGCGAGTGGTCAACGCGCCACTTGTCGCTACACCAAATCCTGCCCCAAGTGGGACAATACAGTAGCAAAAAAAATTTTATCTCAAACAAAGCTCAAATACGAGCTTATACAAGTACATAATAAACAGCATCAGTTTTCACATTGCACAGAGACATATCTTTTCGAAGAACGAAGTTCAATCACATGAAATGACTCATCAAGTTGCTGTAAAGAAATCCTGGCACTGAACTGAAGGTTTGAAGTTCTATGGAGCTCTGCCAATGACACAGAAAGATGTTACGCATAGAATCTCCAGTAATTACTAAATTGTTTTCCCATTGGACAGCGGAGTGTGCATTGCCACTTCGACTACCATTCGTGTGGTTCGACGCTTGGGCGTGCCAGGCGGGATGGTTCTGGCGCGATGCCAAACCCGTTCTCCACCAGTTCTTGAAGCGAGCAAAAGATATGACTTTATCATATCGTACCACTTTGTCGCATGCGCGCTTCAACAGGAATGGAGAGCACGGCTTTGATGGGCTTTGACTTGACACACTCCACTTCCTGACACGCCCAACCGTCCGCAGCGACTAGAGTGTAGGGCAGCTCCGTCTGAGGTCAGACTTTTCTAACTAAGGAAAGGGGAGAAGAAGAAGGAATTGCAATAGTCTGGAAGACTGATGTGAGCACTGACTATCCCGTACTGGTTAGTACAGTACAGACGAAAAACGTATTGATATTGACAAATATGACCAATGCACTTTACTGTTTTTTTTACTTCGTGCCTATCATCATGGGAAACGAGAACCCGTGCGAAGAGCGCCTTAGGAAGATTTTATGTGCGTTGCACGGAGCCGATGCGGTGAGCTCAACCAAGTGTTAGTGTTAAGGGAAGTAGCAAGGCCTCCTATTATCTGCTGGCCTACCAATACTTCATGTTCTCTTGATGTCGGCAGTACCCGATGCAAAGCGTAGTTGGCTCGACTCCAGATACCGACAAAGATAACCAACTGCTAGATAGCTTTGAGCCAATTCTACGTGGAACTCGCATGAATTTCAGCAATATCTGGTGACCCTCCCTGGGCCTTTGGGCCTCGGTTTGAGGGCTCACTGAGCTTGCTCCTCCCGCGGAGGTCAGATGTTCAGAACAACGTGACCGAGTGGGTAAGCATTGGATTGAGAGGAGAGCGAACACGCATTGTGTACTCCGTATCCCTGGGATGGCGTAGGCGTGGCATTTGAGCATGGCACAGAACGGGTCACTCGTGGGATATTTCAGTTTGAGACAACTGTCATCTTGTTCTGCATTGGATAGAGACACGACCACAATTGTGTCAAAATGGAAATATTTCTCCAAAAGCACAGTAACCGCCACGTTTAGTTAAAAACGCAGCCACGCCTACTCCATCTCTAGGATCTTGCGTGTATATATGATCGAGCACGTCGCACGTCGGGATCCTTGGCGAGAGAGTCTTATTTAGTTACTGAAGGGAGGAGGATAGCGGTCCTTACTGCCTAAATTATCTTTTGCTCAAATTCAAAAGTTCAAAGAATGAAATATGGGCGCTGATGCAGCACAGGTATGCGATTTAGAAATAAATCTGGCAATAAATATATTCTAATTCGCTGCCGATGAAGGAGCGTGTCAGGCATGACGGGTATGCTACGGCGCCAACCCCTTCTCTGCCAGTTGATGAAGCGGATATGCGACAACCATTGTTTTGAAACGAGCGATATGATAGAATATTGTCACTTTATTGCTTCGACAGCTGGTGGAGAACGGGGTTGGCACCGCATCAAACCCATCTGACCTGACACGCCCCTTCGCTCGCAGCGAACTAGGGTATAGATGACGTGTCACTAGTGTCACGCGATACGTCAATGATCTCACGCTAACGGATCCGTGCTACACCTCCACTATAATATGAAAAAAAATACCACTAGATTCTCGCAGGATGCCAGGATCTCAAAGCAACAACCTAGTTCACAAAAAAATTGGAATATGAGATAAGAGTGGGCAATATCTAAGAGTGAGTTAATTATTATCACCGATGTTACGTAGTCAGTATGCATAAAAGCGTGAGAAAAGTGAAAATAAGTGACATATTCACGTGTCACTACCCATAATTCACAGAACTTTCTTGTATGGTTATTTGCAAAATGGGTTATATTACAGACTTCAAAGGCGTTCTATCAAATCCATAAACAATTATCACAGTTACTATACCCGTTCTGGTCACTGTCGTGGTTTGAAGGCAGTAGCCGTACTGAGCGCGGTGGCGCGAGTTTGTTATTGGTCACACACACCATTGGTACCGCCCATACCTGAAGGCAAAAATGAGCGTTCCAAAGTACGCAGATGCAAGCGGGCGACGTCTGCGAGGGCTCACGGAAAGGAAAGAAAGAAAACGGAGAAGTATGTGTAAGAGGGGAGAGTCGGCTGGGGATAACCGGGAAGCAGCCGTTGCTGGATTCGCAACTACGTACTTCGAAACGCCCCTTCTGTCCTTCGATATGGGCTGTGCGTATAACTGTGAGGTACGAATGAAAAGAAGCTTAAGTTGCCGCGTAACTCGACTCTCGCCATCAGTGGAAAATCACTAGTAGTTACGCTCCTGATGAGACATCGCACCGAGCGACATTCCCCCCTCCCCCTCTCGTAGCAGTGGGAACACCGCTCGCTCCACAACAATGTGGGCGCTGCAATGGCCCGTATAGTTTTAATACACGCCCACTGCTCAACCCGGATGGAGCATTGTGGGGAGAGGGGGTCCGGCCCATAGCTCATTCGTGCGTGATCCGAAATGGTCACCCCTGCGTAAAGTGTGGCCACCGCCTCTATCATAATATTTGGGTGAGACAGCAGACAACGAGAACTTTTCTGCATCCCTATTCTCACTAATTGTGAAATTATATAGCCTATTGAGATTGATAGCGTTACAATGTTACCATTTGTTATAATTTACATGGAAATTGAAGAGGCACTAGTTCAGGTGCTATCACCGCAATGAGGATAGCATTCGCCAACATCCGGCAGTGAAAGATACGCGAGTTGACGTGCTTCCTTTGGATACGTCCTACCGGAGTACCGTTCAAACCGAGCTAATTCCTCTCTGAAAAAGAGCTTATCAACAGGTTCTGTTAACTTGCCGATATACAACGGGTCTGATCAGAACTCACTTAATGTCAGAGACGTTCATTCGTTTCTTTATAATCCAGTCCCACCCATTATAATGCGGACCACATAGGGAAGGATCGAGATTCTTTTTGAATGGGCTTTCCCAGCCACTTTCGCCCACTTTTTGAGCCTTCCAACCATGTAGCATAAAGTCAGCATCCGACCACCTAAAATATTAGAGATATATTAGAAAATTGAATTATTATCCTCCCAGATCAGCAAAAAATCACTGAAGATCCGTGAATCAACTGTGCGCATTTGGTAGGCAGGTCCGCAGCAACAAGGGCGCGTGGCCTTCACTACTTCAACGTTTTCAGGCTACGAGGCAACGACTTACATCGCTAGTTACCGCGCGTGTTGCGAGCACTCTTGGAGGCTTGATGAGCTCAACGGGAGATAGAGCCCATCCTCTTGACACAACCCTCAGCGAACGTGGAACAAGCTTCTGGACGGTCATTTGTCCTCATTAGAACCCTGCTGCTTTTGGAACCCCACCTTCGGCAATATCACACTTTATGCCAGAGCCTTTGAAATTCAGGAATTTCACATCGAAATTTTTCTTGGGATAGATCTGCCTACATTTGGGGACGGAAACATAGATTACATCTGCTTGAGAAGGAAGTGCCTAGCGTCCACGTCACGGGCGGCAGCGCCAGAAGCTTTTTGACGTCAGCACCCATAGCGCCGTACCCAGCAGCCGGATGTTTTGGCGCCGACGCCTGTGACGGAGGCACCCATACACCTCGACAGCCAAGAAAAACTTCAAGCCTCTAACAAAGGAAAACTCACTTGTCAGTCGTGATAAATCCATCGCGAACCCATCCATGGGCTCTGTGGTAGATCCTGATCTTCCCCGGCCAGAACCTTGTTGCACCCAATGCTTGTTTGACACAAGATACGTAGATTAAGTAGCTTTCGTAACCAGATGCATTGTGCCATACATTATCACAGTTTTCCGTCTCTTGGACTGCCCACGGAAGCACAGTTTTCATTATGAGGAGCTGAAATTCATGAAGAAAGATCGAGCGGTATCGACCAGCAACACTTTTAGTAGAGAGTTGAGACAGAATGAATTAGAAAAAAAATGCAAGTCTAACAGCAGTTCGAGCACTCACCTGCAAAACTCCATTATCGGCTCCATTCCAGTTAGATGGCTGTGTGAATTCCCAATCACCCCAGTCTTTCAGGAAATTCACAGCAAAATCCGTATTTCGAACCTGAACAGGAGCACATCCACTTAACAGTAAGCAATGAATAAGTATTCTCTCACTATATAGTTGCCACTGGCGATTTCCCAGTTGAAAAATCTCTCATAAAAGATTATGTCGACGCGATCATCAATCCATTCCTCAATGCAGTGGTTCGGGTTCACGACTCCTGAGAAGAATATTTTACTCTCTAGTGAAGTACGTAAGTAGCAAAAAATATCGAGTGAATAGTTAGCATGATCAACCGCTTCGGGAGGTACAACGCGCTCTAGAACTATGGTGGCTGTATAGTGTAGTTCGCTGCGGACGGTTGGGCGTGTCAGGCGGGATGAGTTTGGCGCGGTGCCAAACCCGTTCTCCACCAGTTGTTAAGCGAGCAAGTGATATGACTGTAGTGTGTATCATATCGTTCGTATTAGTCGCATGCGCGCTTCAACAAGAAGGCAGAGAACGGCTTTGACGGCGTGACACACTCATACTGCCTGACACGCCCAACCGTCCGCAGCGAACTAGAGTATACAGGGGGGGGGGCAAAAAAAGTCACTTTTCTTCATTGACTTTCGAGGCGCTATAAGTTACACTTTATTGAATTCTCATCGGACATTTTCACCACCATATTAAAGAGCATATTAAATACTA